AATAAACACCTGTATCTTCTGGATGATTGTTTTCGTAGTTCTCCAGGTTTCCGCCTCATACGGTAAAACTGCCTTGACATTTGTATTGAAACTTGTGACCTTGGTGTTGGTTGACAGTTGCTTTGAGTTCCAGATGTTCTTCAGTTGTAGATATGCTGTTCTTGCTTTGCCGATCCGCGCCTTCACATCTGTATCAGATCCACCCTGTTCATCAATGATGCTGCCCAGAGATGTATAGGTTTTTACACCTTCCAGATCTTCTCTGTCAATTGTGAGTGGATTGGTGCATGCTGTGTTGTATTAGAGAATCTTGCTTTTCCCTTTGTGAATATTGAAACCTACTGCTGCTGAGGCTGCCGCTACTCTGGTCGTTTTCCCTTGCATTTGTTGTTGCGATTGGGATAGAAGGGCCAGATCATCTGCGAAGTCTAGATCGCCCAGCTGCATCCTAGATGTCCACTGTATCCCGCGTTTCCCTTCAGATGTTGACGTCTTCATGATCCAGTCGATCACCGGGAGAAAGACTAAGGGTGAGAGTAAGCAACTTTACCTGACACCGGTCTTTACCTCAAACGAGTCTGTCAATTGTCCTCCATGCACAATTTTGCAGTTAAATCCAAGATTCTCCAATAAAACACATCATGCAATAATCGAATCACAATTGACGGAGAAGATTTGGAAGATGAAAATACCTTCACATATCTAGGCCACATCATCGATGAACACGATGTATCTGATACAGATGTGAAGGTGTGGATCGACAATGCAAGAGCAGAATATCTGCAACTGTAGGATATCTGGAACTCTAAACAATTGTGAACCAACACCAAAGTCACAAGTTTCAATACAAATATCAAGACAGTTCTACTGTATGAGGTAGAAACTTGGAAAATCTACAAAAATAAATTTGGATCCATTGGCCTGACACTATTATCAACAAACTACTGTGGGAAAGAACAAACCAGATCCCAGTGGTGGAAGAAATCAGGAAGAAGCGCTGGAAGTGGATAGGACACACATTGAGGAAAGCATCGAACTACGTCACAAGGTAAGCCCTCATCACATGCAACCCTCAAGGCCAAAGGAAGAGAGGAAGACCAAAGAACATATTTTGCCGAGAATTGTTATCAAATATGAGAAGAATGAACAACAATTAAATAGAACTAGAAAGGATGGCTCAGGTTAGAGTGGGTTTGTGAATGCTGGTTGATGACCAATGCTCTATTGTTATTAACAGGCGTGAGTAAAGATTATGGATCTTGAATGTGCATAGTTAAAGTGTTCCATACTAGAACAAAACGAACATCTAGTGCTTCGAAGTTTTAAATAGTTGTCTAACATAGATCAATTTATGATCTTAATCAGAAAATATCAATAAATACATCAATTAACTACTAATTATAACAATAAAAAAATATAAATCAATAATTCATCTTACCAAGTATCGCTTTACGTATTTTACGATCTCTTTTTTTAAAGCATAATTTTTGATGATATAAATCTTTGTTAATATTATCAAGAAATGGTTTAAAATCTTTCGGTATTGTATGATAAATGAATTCATGATTTTGATCTAAAATTGATTTTTCCTCCTCCTCCTCCTCCTCCTCCTCTTCTTCTTCTTCTTCTCCTACTGTTATATCATTGAATTCACTTCGTGATAATGAACAAAATATATGACCTAAACTCATTGATATGATGATGATGATGATGATGAATATTGGTTAATTGTTTTTAGATGAATTAACAATGATTATGACATGGAGATAAATGTGTAATCCTATTTAATAATAAGTAGTATGACTTGGATACAAATTATTATTATTACTATTTGCTTATTATTCATAAAATGATTGACTAAAGCCAATTGAAAATGTCAAATCAACCTTTTTTTTTAAATAAATTAACTTAGATACTAATTAATTAAACAACAACAAAAAAAGAAGTATTTCGTTGATTTGACCTTGATGGTGTTAAAATTTGATTGGATAATAGAATAGATTCCATTTTACACGCCTACACTATGAATATACAGTAACTATGTCTAGTGAGTTAGTATATGTCACTAATTGTTAATGAGTAAAGTGTCATCATGAGAACAACAACAACAACAACAACAACAACATAGAGGTAAATAAATTTGACAGAAAACAGAATGGGACTAAATATAAAAAAAATGTATCCATTTTCTTTACTATTTGTGAAGAAACATGACTAAAACAAAACTATTACGTAATAAACTATGATTGTCTAGGGTAAATGAAAATACCATAAAATTGATTCGATGAATTAGAATTGAATTATAGTTAGATTTCAACTAAACCAAGTTATATATACAACAAGAAATTGTAGAATGATGAAGAAGATTTGTAGTTCAGTTGGATGATTTTAATGTTTGTTTTATAAAGCTGTTACATTGAAACATATCATCCGTTCGTCGTTGTTGATTTAAATGTTCTTAATCCGATCCAGGAATTGTAAAGGAAATTTGATGGAGTGGTTGGACGAATTCATTAAATGTTCCAATATTCGTGAAATTTCTTTTGACATATTTTATGTTGGGATTCCGGTGAGTACTACAATTGAACGTAGAGGGATGTTTTGTTTGTGTATTTTTGGCTTACCGTAGAATCGAGGAAGTACTGATCTATTGATCTTGCTTTGATATTTGTCCTGCTTTGAAAAGTTTGCTTAAAGTCCTTTAAATTCGGTTATCATCAAAATCGACGACAAGATATGCAAATTTCAAAGATTATGTCATAATGATCAAAAGATTTATGTCAGTCGTAGTCGGTATAGAACCCGACACAATTGTGAATTGTAGAGGAAAAACAACAGATAACTTTATACATAGTGAAATATGATTATTTTATAGTTAAGCAAGTGGAACACATATTGGATGTTAAAGAATTTCAGTTGTGGCGGTAAACTATTGAGTAAAATCAGTGAAAACTTTAGAAACTATGACAGAAAAGTCACTGTTCAATAGATTAATTGAATCTTTGTTAGTCTGAACAAATTTAAAATCTAATTTCGAAATTTTGAAGAGGATGAAATATACAATTCATTTTAATAATTGGATTCATGAACTGATAAATGTTAGACTACCATTTAAAATCTGGAGGCAGTGGACGGTCATTTAGTTCTACTATGGGACCCTCGGCAATCTACATGCATGACTCGAGATCGAAGGTCCTGGATTCAGTATTAATATCTGATTAAAATTTCAATATTTATTATTTAATACACGGATAGAACAGAGTACATTCATACGATAATAAAATGTGGATAGAATGTATGAAATAGAGAATTTAGTGTTTACCATAATTCAGGTACCTTATCCGTTAAACAATAGCAAAAGTAATCAGAAGACAAATACTAATTTTTGAAGAAAATTACGACAATTTTACATAAATATCCTTAACCCACTTAAATTTCAATGTAAAAATAGCTAAATGATTTATTTTGAATAATATCAGAAGAAGTTTTATGGATATTATAGCAATTTTAATTATTGACTGTATGAGTCAGTTGAAGCTAGACCACTATGGAAAACCTGGGAGCCCTGGACGGTCGTTTTATCCTACTGTTAGACTCCTCAACAGTGCTCACCCACGATCCCGCCTTGCGAGATTTGGACTCAGGACCTACCAGTCTCGCACGCGAGCGCTTAAACACTAGACTACTGAGTCGTTATCCAAAGGCGGTAATGTCTTACTTCAACTAATCCACGAAATTGAGCAATTAGTTTAACAACTGAACAAGTAATCTGATAGTCACAGATCAGGATTTATTGTCTAATATACCCAGAATTTCTATGGAGGGTGTATTAATCCATGTGATGTCATTGGAAGTTCGTTTGTAATATGTCTAATATTCAGTCCTACCGTATTACAAATTAACAGGATAATTCAAACCATATAAAAATATAGATTAACCAGATCAACATTATTTGGTAATGGATAAAAATAATGATTTCTAATTAAACCAGTTCGAATCGTTTTAATCTCGGTCAGACTATGAAGCCTCATGTTACAATAAATTAGAATAGATTGAAGACCTCACCAGTATTTCATGACAATTTTGAAGTAACTCTTGATTTTTTATTTACGCAATTAATTCACCATTTTTCTGGAACTATCTGGGAAGTTATTGTTGAAACCAAATTGAAAGAAATGTTTGCAACCTTTTTACAGGTTATGAAAAATTTCCAAGGGAATCCACGAAAGTGAAGCATTGGTATTTGAAGATTGTTATCGAGAAGGGCTACATAATTTATTCATACGAGTATTTACTCATAGGAAAGATGTAGGTGTGATTTTGAGTATAATCCTGTTCAAACGTATCCCAAAATCATTGAATGTTACAGTCCGAGAACTTGCCACTAAGTCATACAAGTAGTGATTAGCCTCGTGTCGAACTGAAGTGTTCACAGTAGTCAACGCCTGTTATTATTCAATCTAATAATACTGATGTTCACATCAGGGCTCAAACCTTGTACTTTTCGCTTCAAATCTCAAAGTATTATTTGTTCAGATAACGAAAAGCACTGAGTTCAAACTTCAGGGCGAACATCAGTTCTTGGATCCAAATACATTCAGCTGATTAGTCCCATAAAAAAAAACGAAATCCACGACATGGATTTCATTGTTAACTAAATTCCATCTATTCTATGTAAACCTGTAAAATAATGGATGTATCAAGGTAATCCTTATAGGATACACAAATATCAACCGAGACTGATCAAGATGTAATCGAATTGTCAACAATAGAATAATCCAAAGCATTACAAGTTGAATAACATTTAATCATTGTATTGAAATCCTTTTTTATGCACATTTCAGAATATTGTCTATTCTGTATTGATACGTAACATGAAATATTGATTTTAATTTTTTATCTAATCAATATTATTCTCAATAAGATTGAATACAAACAAAGATTGAAAATCAATAATATTGATAATTTTGTTAATCAATAAACTGTTATCTAAAACTCACTTTTAATCAATAATGTTTTTGATGATAATTGTAATGTAGGAGTTTCCCATGGAATAAATTCTTTATTAACCAAATCAATACATTGTATCGGAATAGTTAAATCAGATAAATGTGGTCGTACAACATCTCTTTAAAAGAAAGATATAGAAATATATATATATATATATTAAATGAGAAAGTATACATACTATTCTAAATTCACGTTCAGTAACTACTGTTGCTGAAAGACTTATGCTCTTCATGAGGGATAGCGGGTGTAAGTAAATAGTGCTGTTAGAGGTTGCCCACACCTTGCAAGGATTCTTCATGAGGTACTTGAAAGGGAAATTTGGTCAAGGGTGACCTAAGAGCGTGACCGCAGTGGTTGAGGTCGGTCACACATGACATTTTTGTGAGTAATTTTCGTGTTGGCTCCGTACTTGTTAAGACCTACTCTGTGGCAGTGAAACATGGCCTGTAAGAGTAGAGGATATTCGTAGGTTACTAGTATTCGATCATGGGCGTCTTCGAAGCATTGCTCGTGTATCCTGGGACCACCGGGTAAGTAATGCAGTTGTTATGAAACAGACACTAGGTAAGGATGGTAAATCAATTGATGAAGTGCTGAAACTTTATCAGTTGAGATGGCTGGGACACGAGTTACGAATGCCCAACCATTGGCTACTCCGACGTGAAATATTTTATGGTGTGGGAAGAGGTTAGAAGAGAGCTAGAGGCGGTCAGACCAAAAAATGGCACAAATCCATGAAGTCATTGAAAAGCAGGCTGAAACATGTTGGTAGGTGTAGACTACCTGGTCGGGACTCGCGAGACGATAGCGACCGATGGTTAGAGAATTTGAATGACATAGTTGAAAATCGTTTGCAATGGCGTAGGTGCATGCAGTTTTTGAGTTCTCCCAAATTCTAATCTCCTGAATTCTTCATGTCCCCTCTTTTTTCTCTTTCCAAACTTATTTCAGTGGGTTATACTCTTTGAATAACATCTTCAAACCCTAATATTTCCGATTACCGCTTATACGTTTACTACCTCTACCAATATGGCATTTGAATCGAGAATTACATTTCTGTGATATTTTGTTATAGCAACTCGAAATGATGTACAAACTTAAGAAGTTCCACGTTGTGATTGACTGACTATCGCCTAAGACGGATATAAGTGGGATAAGCTAAGCTGTGTACTTTTAGGATCGACCTTTTCTAACCCCACCCTTACTTGTGGGAAGACAGCATCGCTGTTACGCTGGTTGTCTGAAAGTAGTACCTTACTGCCATCACACCTCGGTACAGTCAGCAGTACGACTTCGCCCTTGGACCTCGGGTTTGCTGCTTTTAATCTTACGGTTGTTTAACCGAACTGCAATCAATCAATTGTGATGTTTTAATGTATTCGACTTTAAATCAACTGATTTCACTGTTTGAACTTCCTTCTTCCTATTTCATCTGTTATGCAATATTTATAGATCACACACGATGTATAAACGTTAGATAAATTAGATTTTTACTTCTAGGATTATTTAATATATACATGTAGATTTCATATTAATTCATGGATGAATGTTGGGTTAATGTTCAGAGATATTAATCACGACTTAATATATAATATAAATAAATTGACTTTTGGATTTACTAGCCAATCAATGCTAAATCATGAATCGATTGGTGTTAGACATTAACACCGTTGGATACCGGTTCAGTGGTCTAGAGGTTAAGCGTTCGCGCTCCAGACCAAAGGTCATGGGTTTGAGTCCCACGCGCAAGTTTGTGGACATGCACTTATGAAGGGTCCCATATTAGTAAGAAACAGCCATCCAGTGGTTTCAGGTTTTCAGTGATGGTTTAGTGTAGATTGTCTAATGAATTCAACTGTTGGTATACTAAAATCCCACAAATCCCCAAATTGATAACCAAATTGATTGATCTAATTACATTCATCATTTATGATAGTCTAACATTTCTACTTTGAATTAACCAATTCTATGAAGAAAGAAATATTTCAATAGTTGAAATCATGAGTCAATTGAATCTAGACTACCGTGAAAAACCTGTGAGCACTGGACGGCCGATTCGTCCTAGTATAAGATTCCTGAACAGTGCGAATCCACGATCCCGCCCACCGGGAGATTCAAATCCAAGATCTATCAGTTTCGTTGGATGCTGATTCAGTGGTCTAACGGTTAAACACTCGGATGCGAGTGTTTATAAGTTCTAAAATTGATATTTGAATGAAAAACTATGTCACTCACTCTAATTTATCCGAAGGTAATGGATGTAATTTTATTTCAATACCATTCCAGAAGCGTATTGTAAACATTTTTGTAGGAAGTGACACGTTCTCAATATGTTTAAACTGTTTGATTGTGCAAATATGTGTTTTATAGTTGGAAAAAAAATAAACAAAAACACATTTAGATAAAAAAATTTATGTAAATGTGATAATAATAATCATCCATAATACGATGACTCGTATTTAATCATGTCACTGAAGCTATAAAACCTTTAGGCATGGTGCAGTGAATGCTTAATTATTTATTTACTTATGCCTGTTACTCCGAATGGAGCATAGGCTCCAGACAAGCATTCTCAAACACACTCTAATCTGGGCCTTCCTATCTAGTTCTATTTAATTGTTCTTCATTATTCTCATGTCTGTCTCCATTTATCGGCCTAATGAATTTTCTGGTCTTCCTCTTCCCCTTTCCAGTTCACGATTCCATGTGATGGGGACTCGCCTTGTGACACAGTTGTGTGCTTCCCTCAATGTGTATCCCATCCACTTCCAACGCTTCCTTCTCATTTCTTCCTCCACTACAATCTGGTTTGTCCTCTCCCATAGTAGGTTGTTGCTGACATTGTCTGGTCAATGGATCCAAATCTATTTTTATAGACAACTGTTAATGAACACTTGTATCTGATGGATAACTGTTTTCGTAGTTCTCCAAGTTTCCACCTCATACAGTAGAACTGTCTTGACATTTGTATTGAAACTTGTGACTTTGGTGTTGGTTCACAATTGTTTAGAGTTCCAGATATTCTACAGTTGTAGATATGCTGCTCTTGCATTGTCGATCCACATCTTCACATTTGCATCAGATCCATCGTGTTCATCGATGATGTTGCCTAGATATGTGAAGGTGTTTACACCTTCCATACCTTCTCTGTCAATTGTGATTGTATTGTTGCATGTTGTGTTTTATTGAAAAATCTTGCTTTTCTGTTTGTGTATGTTGAAACCTACTGCTGTAGTTGCCACTTCTTAATAACTTCCTGATTTCAAACATCACTGAGATTCATATACTAACAATTATCATAGTGATTAATGATTAACAAAGCTAAACTATTACATGGTGAAGTGGATTTGTAGCTCAAATGGATGATTTTGATAGAGTTTTGTTCTGTGAGCTGGATGGTTTGGTCGTGAAGCTTTCATCGTTCTTCTGAACGACATCATCAACACAGCTTGTTCTATGCACCTCGATGTTGATTGGTTCTTATTGACCTTAAATTTATCATTGTTCACTTCTTTGTCTTGGTTGTGTCTCCCATTTGTTTGATTTTTGGAGAAATTTGAACACTTCACATCTACCTGAAGTTTGTGCTAATGATGTCGTTCAGAAGAACGATGAAAGCTTCACGATCAAACCATCCAGCTCAAAGAACAAAACTCCACCTAAACTATTACATATGATAAAAAAAATTTTAAAAAAAATTCGTAACTTATACATTAAAAGATAAAATATAAAAACTGATTTTATTGATTAAATATGACCTTGTAAAAAGTTTTTTTTTCTTTTTTTTTAACAAAAAAAGTTCTAGAATTTCTTTTAATAAAATCAATTTTTATGATTCATCCACAATTCAATAATCAATATTGAAATGATAATGAAGTGATTTTGTCTTTTTTTTTTTTTTTTAAAAAAAATAATAAATTTAAATCGATTTTAAAATTCAAATATTTTATTTTTTTATTGATTATTTTTTTGAAAAAAATTAAAAAAAAATCTTTTTGAAGAATATTTGAAATTTCATTAAAAAAAAATCAATAATTGGAAAAATACAAAAAAAATAATTATAAATAGAGAATAATATAGGTCTATATTAGTTTAATTTAGGTCATATATATATATAGAGAGAGATCTCTCGATAATTAAGATATTTCTGTAAGGTTTTGAAATGTTAGCTTTAAGCTAAAAACTAATTGAAATGAGTTAATTTGACGAAATAAAAGAATGGAGATTTGTGGATGTGGCAGTAATTGAATAGATGAATTCAATGAAATGTAGATTATCATAGAAAATCTGAAATGTTCAAAGATCACATGTGGAATCGTTGATACATACTGATGAGAAGGTTCATACTATAACGAAACAACCATATAGTGTTTCCAGGATTTTAATGGTGGTCTCATTTGAATTGATTTATGATTTTAACTATTAAAATCAAGTTTTTATATCGATAATCTTCTTTTTTTTTCTTTTTTTGTGGTTGTTAGAGTTTTCAACTCACGTTCATTTGAATAAGTGTCATTTAAGTTGCATTTGTTTGGTTGATTATTGTTATAACAGTTGGTTTTCCAACGTTCACATGTATGGGATGTTAATTTAACTTAGATGAATATCTACATTAGATTCCCTCCCAGTTTCTACTCTACAGGAACTAAACACAACTCAGATGATCAAGAACAACCACAAGGTAAATATATTTCTACACCAAAAACTCGACACCATCCAACAACAATGAACAATCAATAATAAGTGAAGGAGTAATAATAATAAGGATAGGAGAATATATTACTCATCTGACACCTTTCAGACTATCTACATGTCTGACTAAACAGACAACTAATCATTATCATCCACACTCACACATCAATTTTTGTAAATTTTAATAGTTGAATTCATGAGTCGATCGAAGATAGACTACCATTAAAATCCTGGAAGCACTGGACTCCTCAACAGTATGCATTCACGACCCCACATGTGAGACTCAGACCAAGGACTCTCGAACGTTCAGTGATTCCAGATTTTCCATGATCGACTCATGAATTTAATTACTGCAATATCCACAAATCTCCATTCTGATATTTCTTAAAATTGAATATTTTCAGTTAGTTTAATCTAACATCTCAAAACCTTGCAGAAATATCTTCGTTTTGGAGATGGCAATACAAAAATGTAATTGCCATTTACTTACAACTAGATTATGAATGCTTGCACTAGATTCAATCAATATTACTTGAATCGAATATGAGTACCAAAATATATATTTCTGTTTCAAGAGATTAATGAACTGTGACGGTTCTCTTCTTTAAAGTTTGAAGAAACTCTTTTTTTGGGGGGGGGAGGGGTTGAAATGATAAGATATGGATATCTAGCATATAATCATGTCAATGAAATACAATTGAGTAATGTTTCAGATAAAAATCGTACAGCCTTCACTCAGTTAAATATGATATATCAGATTGTTGGTGAGTTCTAGAATCCTTCTAGTTAAATTATTTAGTGACCCGGAAAATGCCAGGATACGTTTTAATTAACCAAGATTCGATAGAAGCGTATCAGAACTGTCTAGAAGAAGGACGAAACAAGTGTTAAGTCTTTGACATTATAATTACGTATACAATTGCTGTCTTTAGTACATTCACAGCAAGTTATAGAAAACCAAAGTTACTTGCAACTCTATAAATACTTCCGATTTTATGGACATAAACTAACCTTGAAATAAAGCACTTACTCACACTTCACGTTTTTTCTCTATTGTTTGAGTTAACATACAAACGTAACTTGGGGTTATAGCAAGCAGCTACGAAGACAGTAATAAGCGTTCTAGTAGCACAATGATAACAGATAGAACCACACAAATTATCCGTAGTCACACCTACACAAATGTAGGAGAGCTAATGTCAGAGAATTACCACTCATATGATTTGGACAAACAAAACTTTACACTTAATCGAATTATTAGTCCTCGCATTATGAACTAAATTGAATTACAAAATATAACTAAGTAATTCATCAACAGGATATTTAACCGAAGATGATTAACTCTCAAATAAAACCAGTAGGTATGTTTTTTACATCTTACAATGAGATATTTTATATAACTAAGCTAGCGAACTTTACCCAATCATATTGTATACATTTCCAAATTTCGGATGTATCATTCTGGTTAGCGTTTTTTTTAGAGTTAGTTTTCTACGGGATGGGGTCGCTAACTTCATGCCCAACCCTCATGCTTTATCCGGACTTTGGACCAGCAAAAAACATAGAGGGGCTCCAGACGAAGTAGCAGCAGCCTCAGCAACAGTAGGTTTCAACATACACAAATGAACAAGCAAGATTCTTCAATAAAACACATTACGCAACAATCAAATCACAATTGACAGAGAAGGTATGGAAGGTGTAAACACCTTCACATATCTAGGCAACATCATCGATGAACACGATGGATCTGATGCAAATGTGAAGATGTGGATCGACAATGCAAGAGCAGCATATCTACAACTGTAGAATATCTGGAACTCTAAACAATTGTGAACCAACACCAAAGTCACAAGTTTCAATACAAATGTCAAGACAGTTCTACTGTATGAGGTGGAAACTTGGAGAACTACGAAAACAGTTATCCATCAGATACAAGTGTTCATTAACAGTTGTCTATAAAAATAGATTTGGATCCATTGACCAGACAATGTCAGCAACAGCCTACTATGGGAGAGGACAAACCAGATTGTAGTGGAGGAAGAAATGAGAAGGAAGCGTTGGAAGTGGATGGGATACACATTGAGGGAAGCACACAACTGTGTCACAAGGCGAGTCCCCATCACATGGAATCGTGAACTGGAAAGGGGAAGAGGAAGACCAGAAAATTCATTAGGCCGATAAATGGAGACAGACATGAGAATAATGAAGAACAATTAAATAGAACTAGATAGGAAGGCCCAGATTAGAGTGTGTTTGAGAATGCTTGTCTGGAGCCTATGCTCCATTGGGAGTAACAGGAGTAAGTAATTAAGTAAGTAAGTAACTACAGTTCATAAGTGGATAATACAGATTTGAAGTAGATAGATCAATATTTGTGAGCAAGTGAATGCAGAGGCAAATTTTTAGTCTCAGTCATGTTGGTAGATGCGGACTATTTGTTTGTGCCCCGCGTGACTATCGTAACCAGTGGTTGGAGACTCTTGGTGACATGGCCCAGAATCGATCACAATGGCGTCGGTGTATTCACTACTCGTCTTCCTTTAAACTATGAAATTAAAATCGCTTCATATCTTTCTTTTTACGAACTAATTCTTTCTTCCTGTACTATATCCTTATCTGCCATCTTTGTTTTATATATTACCACCAT